ATCTGCAGTATTCAGAGCTAAGACACAGTAACTTTTTTAACATGTCAGTATTGCATAAAGCCCACTGTTGCACAACAGTGGAACAGGGTATATGTACACGTTATGGGCTACAGGTCCCAGCTTCCCTTTTTGCCATCATCAAATGAATCAATCAAAAACTGACATAGTTAAACTAAATTACACGACAAACCTAAGGACAGATCAGGAACAAACGTTTTCTTTAGAGTGGCCAGAATTCTTTGGGAGGTCACAAAACACATGAATTCCTGTATGTTAATCACCTTTTATGGGCCCCTTAAAAGGGTGTAAATTTTGAGGCTTTGTACCTAGGCATTTGGAAGAAAAAAATGAGATGGTCCCAAAGACTTGGCTCTATCTCATTTTTGGAAACGTCAGAATATTTTGCCTCCTTCAGGATTACTATGCTCCCCATTGGCTCCTCCCATTCCCCAGATCTGCCCTGATAACCCCCCCCCCGGTGAGTGCCAAGCAAGGTCAGCAATCATCCATTTGACCTGGAAGATAATTGTATTTAATTTGAGGCATAGCTAAAAGCTAGATTTAAATGAAATCATTGCAAACAATCAATTAAAAGTTAAGTCACTAGTTATTTATATTTTATCACATATAATTACAATTATATGTGATAAATGCATCCCTTTACCAAGACACGACTGGCATGCATTATATAGAACTGACTCATTTGTAACTCTAGTCAGTACTACTCACTATATCAAATGTATTTAATGTTTTAGGTAGGTTTAAAAGCAGAAATGTTGAAGCCTACCCCAAGACCATCTAAAGCCTTAGTGATGACAGGATGCTATGGGCAAGGGCTCCTTGGGGTGCAGCCTGGAAAGCAGTTTAATCTTTTGTCCTGAGACTTCCTTGAAACTTCATTTGTTGCAAAAAATAAAGAATACCTCATTGTAGTAGTCAAAGTGTTGATTGCATCGATTGCCCATAAGACAGCTCTTGTACATGTAGTACTTTGAAACATCAATTTTTTGGCATTTGTTTACATGCGTGCTGGGAAATACCACAAGCACATTGTCAGACAGTGCAAGAATACACGTAGGCACATGCATATTGGAATGTGCGATGTATCACCAACCACTGGTGCATGTTTGAATGAGTAGGAGGGAGGGGTCAGTGGAGTGGAACTAGTGACTGAGAATCTCTTCAAGCACAAAGGAAGAGAAGGTAGGGGAAGCCATCTGAGTAAGACATTAAAAGTCCTATGGAATAAGTCAAGAATTAGTTGTCAATGGGCTGATGGTGTTTTGAGGTTTACAAGCAATATTGACAGTGTAAAATGGTTTACAAAAGAATGCAATCTAGGGAAGGAAAGGCAGGTTAGTGTTGAGATTTTGAAAAATGTTCTGGATTTCAACAGAGCAGGAGGAAAACATGGTTACATTTACACATGGTACTGAGACCAAAATTTGTTTATAAGAAAATTTCAGAACAAGTGGTGGATGAAAATCTCATTAGCTTACTCAGTTGAGTTTATGAAAAATAATGGAAGGAAATTGGCTGCAGAAGTCGAAGTTCAGAGGAAGGAAGGGTACATTTTTAACGGATGTGCCTTTCCAGGGTGTCAACAGAGTTGTTGGCTTCCATCTGACAATGGACATCATCAATATAAAAGTTAACTCCATAACAGAGCCCTGCAGAGACTTTCCAGGCTTCCAGTTGACCGTGCTCTACTTGCCAAAGGTAAATGAAAGATGTTAATATACTAATACAGTATATTTCAATAGAGTTAACATATGGTAAGAACTCCGAAATTGCATTTGTGTACACATGCAACCTTCTCTTCTTGAACGAAGTGCAGAGATACTGGAAAGATAAAAGTTAATGTCCAAAATGAGATTACTGCCTCTATGGTCTTCCAAATGTCACCTTCAGCTAGTTTTTATGTATTTTATGTCAGACAAAACTATGAGTCAAAGCAGTGAAAAATACCCTGCAAGGAGGCATTAAATATTCAATAACTTGAAATATTGCTCATTACTTGAATAGTATATATCTCATCGACTGAAATCCTTCAAATCCATTTATGCCCTCTGGTTTCAATTATATGCTTGACATGTGAAAAACAAAAATCCACAGTTACAAGTGTGTGGATAATATAAGTAAAGGCAATCTCTTGAAAACACCACAACCGCTCAGGTTGGCGCAAATTGATGATCGTTAGACAGGCAGTAGGTCTTTTTTGTTTCCATTACCCTATGTTATCACAGCAACTAATCAGGATATAAGAAAAAGCCACCTTTATTGAAGAAGGGGTCAACTAGCTCATCCGAAGTAAACTCTTATTGAGACAACTTGAAAATTCAAATATTGTTTTAACTACATGTACAACGTCTTCACAGAGCTGGGACGAAGTTTCTCAGAATGCTCTCTGAGCAACTTTAATTGATCTCAGCACAAAAATGAAGTTGACTACCTTTACAGTCGCAGTACTGTGCCAAGTAGCACAGCAGGAAAATGTGAAGGAACACCTGATCAAGGCTGATCAGTTCCAGGAAGTGGAAAGCTGTTACTACCAAGTGGCCGACACCAAACCAGGTATTATGCGGTTTAAAGGTTTAATATTAGTTTTAAAGATGCAAGGTAAGGAAACCGTTCCTTCTCCATTTATGGTTTGAAAAATGTCAAAAATGGTCTTCCACAAGTACCCTTTTCACCGATTTCAGAAACACTCATATATTACTGACATGCCAATGACCCCCAAACATCTTTACATCATTGCATCTTTACACACAGGTCTTACATTAGATTCATACTCAAAATGCAGTGTTTTTGCATGAGTCGTGTGCACTACATCGATTGTTCCATCCATCTAGTACATGTACATGATTTCTTCTGTTTTCGTAAAATAAATCATAAGTCAGTCTTGTGCAGTTTGTAGGTTCAGACAGAAATCTTGCAAACTGAGATTGGTGTTTTCAGAATTGGCACAGTTGGTTGTAAAAGAAAATTGCCTCTTCTTTTCCTCTAGTTGATTTTGAACAAAAAGATGGGTGTCATGACAGACACAATGCAACCTGATTCTTGCGGGAACACCTACAAAGCCGAGGATGGGGCCAAGATCGACCCTGGTCAGAAACCTATGGCTTCATACCAGGAGCTCATTCGAACATACTCTGCCCAGCAGCAGTGGGTCCTGAGTGCATGCAGTTGCACAGGTATAAGATCATTTTATTTTCACTGGCGTTCTTGTTGAATTTTTTTTATCAGCGATATGTATGTAAATATGTTTATCTTTGTAATTTCAATTAGGTATTGGCATACTGGCCTGCATAACAGAGTCCAGAAGACTCGGTTGACAGAAGGGCTGACACACAGGCAAACCTACAGACAAGGTACAATGCACTGGGTGTGCTGTCCAAGCTGAAGAAGACATCGAAGGCAATTCAACAGCCAAAACCTCCCCTTCAGTGTCGGAATCAGAAGATGTTTGGAGTTTTGATGATTCAGTCACAGATGACAAACCTCTGAGTCTATCAAACTAGTTGATGTTGTCATATTTTTAGATTTCAACCACCCCTGTAATTTTTGTATTTCTTAATTTAAAACACCCCAAGTATTATAACACTGTTATAACACTATTATAACAGATTTCATCTTTATGCTCTCTCCAAGTAAAGTTGTGGAAAGGTCATCTGAATGGGTAAATTGAATGGTATTACAAATATGGAATGAAAAGTGATAGGCCTGACCTTTTCAAAGCTACTAAATATTAATAACCTATTTTCCTAAACACATATTCCTGTGTTTCCTAAGAACATACACTTTGTGCATGATTTGTTTTTAGAACAAATGTTAACCAAGTAATGCCCACTGAAGGAGATGAACCAATGAAGATTGACGCTACGGTGACGTGATCAAACTGCAACTGAACAATATTTATTTGCCATTTTTTTTTAAAATGTAAATGCTTTGTTATTCTAGGTTATACATGAAAATCGATATGATGTAATGATGACCCCAGCACTATTTTTTATTTAACATTTGACTCATTTGACTTCTGATATTTGTAAGTACTCTCCCTATTCTTACCGTATGACCTCAGAGAGACAAAGGACATTTTCACATCATGTGGAAAGTCTGTAATGTTTTGATAGTTTTATCACGTTACTTAATGTTTGTTATCCGATGAGAGAGATTATCCAAGTCTAGAAACTATTTCTTGTTTCAAATCTTAGCAGTTACTTTCCTGTAGTATTTGTTGGCACTTTTACCAAGTCAAAGTTTTGTTGATCTTTTCAAAGCATCCATTGAAATGACCTTATGATGATGTCATCCAGTGAATTAAGATGGATTTTTAAACAATCGGTGAACTGCTTTTTCAAAGACTTTAAACGCATTTCTGGTCTCAGGGGTGTGATTTTGAGAAACTGAAAAGTTCACGAAACATTCGTCGGAGGGTTTTTCAAATCGCGTCGGCCACAGCCTCCCTACAGTTCGCGGCATATCTATTTGATTATAGGAGGAGATTCAGATACTACATGTAAGCCACCACAAGAGCTGTTCTTACTTTGAGGGACACAATTATAACATTTACTGCAACAAAACCCTTGTCCTCATCCACTTCAATTGCAATTATACATGTAAGCTATAATTGGTGACAATCAAAGACCTAGAAGTACAATGCACACTCACACAGTTATCAGTGATCCACGAAATTCTATCACAATTTATTAAAACTGAAAACTGTCTCATACAGATGAGTACTGCATTGAAATCAAAGGTATTTAAATCATTTTTCCTTTATATCATACAAAGTGAAACAAAGAAATTATTGACTGATGCGGAGTTTGAACCTGCAACCTCCAGACACCGTTCTGGTGATAGGTAGATTTCTAGATAAAGAAAATTTGTACTGGTGGAAATTTATCCACTGCAGAGAATCCAACACACTAATGTTCATGTAATTAATAAAACTTGTATGCTTTGTTGATAGATTAAATACAATATATTTTTCTGGTTTTGTTATGGCAGGTTGGTTGTTTTGGAAAAGTGGAAGTGGGTAGTTTCTGTCAGTGTCATGACAGGAAATCTGACAGCAGCAATGATTCTTCATATTTACAGCCTAGTGTCTTATGGTAGAAACCGTAATGCTGTTAATGTATATTTATACCTGTATGCTGCAATACCCACATGAGAAAACTGGGTTTACAAGATCTTTAGGAAAAGCACTTCCCTGCTCAGTAATAACTATATAAAAACTAAGTATTCCTTTGTACTTTTTGTTCTACAATTTAGAGTGTGCTTTGCTGCTTCTGCCAACCATCTGGGCAACCTTGCTTCTCAAATAAGCACTTCAATGAAAAAATAAACCAGAAATGTGCTACTGTACGAAGAAGTCTGAAGAAAAAACGGGATCAAAGCTAAATGTGATGTACCGTAATATGGGCCAAATTCATAAAAACTACCAATTGTTTAAGTAGTTTAAGTTTTTTATTGTTTAAGTAGAAGCATCAAGCAAAAGCAAAAGCTCATCCAGCAGGAGCACAAGTAAAAGCCATTACTGAAAACCATACGCATTTATAATCTTTTGCTTTGACTAATTACATAATCTTAAGCAAAATAAAGTCTGTCCAAGGCCAAATGGCTCATTAGGCCAGCATTTATCTCTGGTTTAAGTACCATAAACAAGGGGAATATTTCTATTCTTGAACCTTTTGCTTTCTTCAAATCAAGATATACCTACAGGAATGCTTTGATTTGTATTTTGATATACAAATTTACAACAATATCTAAAAGGCGTTTTTGAGACCATGCAAGTTATTTTACCTTGTGTCAAATTAAAGCAGTAATTATGAACTCTTGTGTGGGACATTATCTTATCCTTCAAATCTCTCTTAATATTTCTGCTGACACACATTTTCAAATTACCAGTAGAGAGAAATGGCCTCGCCTCCTTTTCTAAAATTCTGAAAAATATGTAAACATCATCATTACCGATGAATAATCCACCTTGATTCTGAAGTGGTATCCACTCATTACTGTACTCCAAAAATGTTTCTTCAGAGTTAGTTATGCAAGAATGCCAACTGGCAAGGATCTTACAAAAATTGCAGCTGCATCACTGAATGGTTTCCTAGTTTGTCTATTTATAGTGTATTTTTATTAGTGTTTTTAATGTAATTTATTTATTGTAATTGATTTTATTTTTAAAACTGTCTTGTACTGAATTTTTGTCAATCAAAAGTCAGGTGACTTTTTGTTTGATGTTTTCTTCTAAATAAACTGTAATGAATGAATAAAAAAAGTGCAAAAGGTACATATTGGGCTACATATCTAAGTACCTTCTTCTTTACTTTGTGTTTCTTGATTATTTGTTGCTCTGAGGTCAGTTACATGTCTATATTTTATGAACAGAGTAATAACAGTTAATACGATGTGTTGATGGACCGTGTTCACGACTACCAACTGTGGAATTGCCAACAGAGTTTATGAAGGTTTTCCAGTTGTGTAGATGAGTAGGACTAAGTTTGAATGCATGGAATTTTTTCCACACAATGTCCATCGCCTCCGGTTGTAGAAATTTGTCATCTCCAGTTGATGCAAGGATCCCGAGAGCAGCAACAAGGGTAGTACTAAAGTTGGTGAATTCTTCTGAGTCTGTTGCAAATAGTAGTGAAGCCATCAGTGTTAAAACAGAGGTTGTTAGAGAGTACTTTCCACTGAATATTGCACACACAGTAGCGAAGGATGTCATCTTCGTCATCTGACCCAATACTTCCATTTGAAACATTCATCAAATCAGCATCATCTTCAGAAAAATCGTTCAAGTCGGACCTGTAATAAAATTCTTTATTGCCATAAGCCGCCATCTTGCATGAGAGTTAACGGTTTGCGAATGTGCAATGCTTCGAAGGTTGTGAATCCAAGCGGCCTCAGGTGCTATCTTGGGCGTTAATCGAATTAGTCAAGCAGACGGTACTAGAGACTGAACGTTTGATCCTTGTTTTGTTCCAACTCCTTCTATTTCTACCTCCATGCTCCAACTAGCTGCTCTTCCGGGGTATATGAGTCAGTCTACTTTCCAGGAGGGGTGCGAACATCATAAGCAACACTAAAAAAAACTAGCTTTAGGAGGGATCCTCAATAATTTAAAAAAAAAGAAGAAAAGAATCACAAGAGCAAAAATAAAGGGAACAAAAGGGGGAAGAAATAGCTCCTTAAATGAGGGGCGTCATTTATAATAAGACAAATTATGATTCAGCTCAGGATGCGTCTGTTAAAATGGGAATAGAATGACATTGCAATTTTGTAGCAGTTATTTCCGAACAACCCTCCCACCCTATCATACAAAGTTCATAAACTGTGACTATGTTTTTTGTCCACTCGGGAAGCATAGATCTAGTGCATTGTGTATTGAAAATCTGAGTAACTGGTATTGGTGGGCATTACACATAGCTCGTAAAAATTTGTGAACTTATGTTGACTATCATTATTACAGAATTAGGGAGAAGTGATTCAAGCTAGTTTGAACCTAACATTAACTCATCTGAAAATATTCAAAACTCTCTAAACAGAAGCCTGCTAGAAGAGCCACCCGTCCAAGAAGACCGTGGACAATGAGGATATGCTAGCATACACGGTGAAGCATTGTCCAAATGAAAAAAAGCAGAGCCACTACAAAGTAAGTACAATCGTAAGATTAATTGTAACTTTGAGTTGTCCGTATCACTATGGTGATTTGTATTGTAGCAATTACGACTGCTTCATGATTTAAGATTGATCTTAGTGCTTTGTAAAATCGACCACAGGTATGCTGTGTCGACACATTCATGGAAATTTGTGCTATGTATGAAAAAAGAACCGAGGGACATAAACGTCTCGTGAAAACTCATCCCTTTTTCAACAAACATTGATTCACTTATTTGGACTTCTCTAGATATCACGATGGCATGCAGAAGCCCCAAAAGGCCTTTGCCTATTTACCACTCATCCCCTGATTGCAACGATGATCCAGGATGCCAGTAATTGCCAGAAGTCTTCAGCAGCATGAGTTGGTAGAGGAACAAAATCCTGTGAATGATATTCACATGTAACCTGCTCGGAAACTCATGTATGATAACGGTAATGCCAATTCTGTGAAAGTTTTTGGTTTGTTCTAAAATTGTTACATCTTAGAGTTTTTAACTAGTCTCAACACTGTTAACTTTGTAAAACCACCTTTAAACCAGCTAATCTCGATGCTGACTTTTGCATCTTGTATCACTACACACACAAATGTACAGAAAATGGTTTGCATTGTGTGCTTAATTATTGAGTCAGACTCAAGCTATTCATGTACATTTCTCATATTTCTTCTTAAAGAACCCTTTTTTGTCAATTCCATGTTTGTGTCGTGTTTGAAATATGGGCTTCATACAAGCAATGCCATTTGGAGAGAGTGCCTGTAGGCTATTACAAAAAAGAGAGAAAGGAGATATTTCTGCAATTGTATTCTAAATTTCCAATTTTTCTACTTCTAATTATTTCTGAATGTTCTCAGTTTTGGACAATTGCTTCTTTACACATTGATATTTATCTCTTTGTTGTGCCAACCAGTAACATTTCTTATCTTTGATTTTTAAATTTTTAAATCCTACTTTACATCTGACTATGGGCTGATTTTAATGCCTTTTCAGGTAAACACATCAAAGAATATGGGAAGGTAATATATGGTGAAAAGCGCCAACATCTTCCACCCGAATCACCCCCGCGGACTAACCGCTTTGGAAACTCTGAGAACTGCCTCCCTCATGCATTGACATCGATGGGACAGCAGTTAGACTTTGGCAGACAGGTGTTAGAACTTTGGCACAAAGCCTCCCATGGTCCAACAACCCGTAAACGGAAAAAGGCAAAGTCAGCAGCAACAAAGCTGGAGAAGGCAACAGAAAAGAAGGGAGAGGAGAAATCGGCTCGACTGCCATATTAAATCAACGTTGATATACTCGTCGAGCTCATGCACACAGTTCAAGTGAGGTATACTAATCATGTATTTCATGTGAGTGTGAAATTTTTCGATAAGCTAAAACGACCTTGATTTGCGTGAAACATTGTTTTATTGAGCCTAGTTTTGTTAACCAGCCACTTATTCTAAAGCAGTAATGTAAATACACTTTTGTTGCATAATGAATAAACTGATAAAAAGGTTATGACAGAGTTTAGGAACGTTATACTGTAAGGAATTAATTGTTACATTAAATATGCTCCTATTTTAGATGGTATCAATTAAATACAAAAAAGAGAAATATGTGTTTTATATTTGATTAAGAGTTATATACATATAAGCATGAGGGTAACAAAACAAATGTGAAATCAAGTCTTTTTTTGTCAAGGGTAATACACATGACCAATTTAATGTATGAACAGGTGGTCATGAAGAAGATTATTGGGCTTCTGACTGGAAGAGATGACAATGAAAAGCTCCATGATGCTGAGGCTGCCCTTGGGAGACAAATAAACCTGCGAGCTGTGGAAAGTGCATTATGGACATTGACAAGAGAGGAGAAAAAAGCAGCAGATGAGAGGCTGCTTCCAATACGGCCACCATGTGGACTAGACTGGATCCTACTGTACATGAAGTGTAGTGATGGAAAAAGGTACCGGTACACGTCTAGAGTTCACATTTTCAATCCAATTGCCGAGAGGGGCTGCTTTTGCATTTTTAAAAGTTCATGGGCGTTACAGGATTCCATTAGTAGAAATACCTGTAATTCAATTTTAATGATGTATTGTTACTCTGAAAAATGGGTGCATTCATCAAAAGTTGAATGAAACTTTTTTCAGTACTTGGCAAGTTTACTTGGCTTCTCCTGGTTAACCTTTCATTCAATAGGGCCACATGCCCATTTTCAGGTATTCCCAGTTACAAATGCATGAAATGTACGTGTAGCCTTACATAGAACTTTTGACGTTACAAGATTCAACACTTTCATTTAAGCTTGCCTCTAATGGCAAACTGAAATATGCTCTACGTGGAGCTCTCGGTGATCCGAGATGCTGTCCCGGCTCTGCAATGCTATCAGAGAGCTGACGGACTACAGTGTTGACCTAAATAGAATCGGAGCCATTGAGAAGGAGCTTTGTGAGGTCTTGAGCCTGGTTGAACAAGACTTCCCTTAGGAATTCAGGTGAGTTTGAGATTGTCTTGCATGTTCACAAAACGTTTTTGGTAATATTCTGAAATGACGGAGCTTGATAATGTATAGACGTAACATTCATGTACCTGATAATATTTTGGCACTGCAGAGACCTTTACAATACTGAGGAATATAAGGGCAGGTGTTTCAAGGGTGTTAAAGAAGTATTACCATACAAAATACCATTTTGGAATACTGATCTTTTCGGGTTTTTTTAACTGTTCAGAAGCTGTGTATGCACATTCTGCACACAAGCCTCCTCAACACTGCAAAAGCACGATCCAGCATAATCCCAGTGGATGTTTTGATTTGAGCAGTTTCTGTCTTTCCTGAGCGGTAGAATACTCAACAGGAAAGAGTCAGAAGCAGCTGCAATAGAAGCATACAGAGTAAGATCACAATTTTGTTTAACAGATTGCATATCAGCAGTATGAATTACTACCCACCTAACTTGCAGATAATCGGCAAAGTTATTTCCACTCATTCATGGAGTTATACAGACGATGGATGGTTCATTCACGTCACTAAAATTTGTCATACTCAACTCGCAAAATAATTTCTGCAACAGATAAGATATTGTCAGCAAGAAGAAAAAAACCAAATATAAATAAATGGTTCTGTGGAGGGATGGCTCTGACTCTTTTCATGACAGCATTGTTGAAAACAAAGGAAACAGAATGAGTTTTTATAGAATAAATCTAGAATTACATGTATGTTCAAAGGGGTCACTTTTCAGTTTCTATCCATCATGAATTTCAAGTTCTCTTTGCAAACACTCATTAATCTGTTTTTCCTTCAGTATCAAAAAAAATTGAGTAGATTTATCAAAAATTTGTGATGTTTATTCAAGCTTTCTTTCATACAAAATTGGAGCGGAAATAGAAAATCAATATGTGTTGTATTCCAGAGCTCCTCTAGCATTGATTACAATGCAAATAGTCTCCTTTTGATTGATGTGCTTGTTCATATCAGGTGTATTTACAGTATTGGGAGGACTAATGATTTCTGCTGTTCTCTCTACAGATCTATGAGTTCAGTCAATTTATGGCCATGTCCGGCTTGCTTCCTGAACGCAGTGTATATGTACAAAAAAATGGAAAGTTTCACACTTTTTCTTGCGTAATGAAAGATCAATCGTAAACAAATGTAACACTGATGAAATCTCGAAATATCTCAGACCTTATTAGGAAATGATGTACAATCAAGTTAATACTACTTACTCAGCAAGAGTATTTTGCTCTTTTAAATTTGAAAGCCAAATACATGTACACTACAACCCAATCAATACAAGCAATTCAATTGCAATTTCCCTGGTTTGTTGTACAGTACATGTAGGTATGGCAGGCAGTAATTGTCTTATAGAGTTTAGCAACAAACTGCATTTGAACAGATAACCACCGGTGGCCAAAGGTTTAAAGGGAAACATTGTGGTGATGTGAATCAGTTCTAGCCAGCTCGCCACACTGGGTAGTTTCTCTTATTACATGTATGTAAGGACTGAACAACTGACAATTTGTTCTAATTTCCAAGATGTATTTTGTTTTGTGTTGGGGAGATGTTAATTATATATAACGGGTTTGCTCGTTATATAAAAGCAAACAATTAACAGTGAAGCACTCTGCTCCTTATCTAGCATTTTAAAGCAAAAGACAAAGAAAATTGTAGTTTGTACATTGAAGCTCTAAAGTTTGGAGGTCCAAATTCTTGCAAGTGGGACTTTCACCAAGCTGCAGTTCTGCAAAGATTGAATGATGGCTCTTTTAGGTAAGTTAAGTTTATTCCAAATAGAGTAGATAAGTTGTTAGCTTAGGAAAGTGTATTGGTAGTCATATGCTATGATGTCTTTTTAACCTTTGCCAAGTTTTAATGTCAAGAACTTTGTAAGCTTAATATACTGTACACAGTAGGAAAAACGCTCTGGTACATTTTGCTGTGGCTTTTAAGTGAGAAACAGTCCCTTATAAAGTTTTTTTTAATGTTACTGAATGCAGAGTGTACATGCGTCTTTGTTGAGAGATCTCCAGCATATAGCTCGTTGCTGGTACCACGTACATTCTCCTAAAAACCTTTGGCATGTTTTACGGTTTATCTTTCTTATGATTACCTTTAAGCTACATGTAGAGAACTGCTTTACGGAACATTTGAAAGTTTACGTCGACTTGGATTGTCTAAACTTGCCCAGAGATTTCAAACTATTGTCCGATGACTCGGACTGCAGTTTCTCTTTGTTTATGAGCATTGTCATTGAAAAGTTGAAATTCTTAGCTTGGATCAGTGCATGTGGTTAATTCAGAGCTGAGAAACCTTTGCGCCAGTCTAGCTTTGGCCTACACTTGCATTTTTATTTGGACATATGGTTATATGGCACCATGAAGCATATTCGATGCCGAGATAGATTTGTTCACTTTGGGGGTAAACATTTGTTTTTCCACATGTTAAATTTATGGGTGTGTATACATGTATATAAGTCTGTGTTTTGCGTTAGAACTCTTAAACGTACATGTAAAATAAGTGTATTAATTAAGGGCAAGCAGAGTTCGCCCTTGTAAGTCCTTTTTTAGAGCGGTAAGAACATGTGGAAATGTGCCATGGACCACCATGTGGCTCTTTTAGATACAGGGACATCTGACTGAACTCTCTACTGGGGATAGCCAGAAGGGGACTCCAGTGGTTTCTCCGCCCACTCATTTGGCATCTTGATGCTTGTTTGCCAGTCACCGCCTGGTCTCGGGTCATCAAGGAAAGCCTGGTCCTCAGTCCCATTACTGCCCAGTGTCGCCCTAACGCAAGCCATTACGTGACACCAAGCATGCTAGCCGCCTTGTGATACCCAATGTGCCAGCCGGCCCGCCTGTGACATCAAAGCTCAAAAGTTTCATGTAGTATTGTGACATAAAATGGTTGAAGGCTTGGGGTTTGCGATAACTCCATGTGATATATAAATAATCTCTTCAATGAAAATGTATCGCTCTGAAAGGAGCCGGTTCACTCGAAATATGTATTTCAAAAAGTGATTGCACTGTTGGCATCCTGCTCTGTCTGTGTCTCCTGTGTGGAAAAGGAACAGA